TCCATCGGGCAGGAAGAGGTTCATAATCTCATGCTGTCTATTTCTTCTTCCCATGGTTCGGTCGTAAATCTTAGTCAGAAGATAATTCCGATGATAAATACTATACTAACAAGGTTCGCCATCGGGGACAAGTGGAAGGATCAGGCTGAGTTTTTGTCGACGATGAAGGATGTTGTTAGTAATGCTGCAGGCAATGATTTGTCTGACTTGTTCCCTTCATTGTCCTGGCTCATGTGTCTCATAAGTAGGCCTAAGGTTAAAGTATTGGAGGAGTGCTTTAAGAAGGTTGATCCAGTAATTGAAGGAATCATCCAACAGCATAAAGATAAGAGAACAAATCAAGGCGAAGGTGGAAAAGATTGCAAAAATGACAATTTGGTCGATATCCTCATCGGTCTTCAGGAGCGCGACCTTCAATTTGAAATCGATGCTGATTGTATCAAGGCTGTGATATTGGTAAGTGAACAAACCAAATGTAGCGCCTTCAATGTTAAGAGCTAACGCTAACAACTTTGTCGATGTAGATATAAGGTATTGCTTTATTGCTCATAGTAGGTCGAAGCTATTTGATGTAACACTTAATTAACGAGAAAATTCGTGGGAACTCACATGGTGGGCGAATACTCTGACGCCATCTTGCTGGAACTTGATGAGGATATAATGTGGCGAGGCCAATAATTTGTTGAATGGAGGAAAAGGATATTAGGGGGCATTTAGTAGCTTACAACTAGAATGGTTGCAACTCCAGTTGCATGCAACTGAGTCAATGTTGTCCAGTTGCAAGTGTTTATTTTGTCGCAATTCATTACAAAAATTGCAACCACATTGCAAAAAAACTCTTAGTTGCAATGTATGATTTGCGTCCAAAATGATTGCAAGCCACAGTTACAATTGGACCAAATTTATTAAAAATCAAAATTATTCTTAATATTTAAAAACAAGAAATTCATAGAAGATTTAAAAAAAAATATTATTATTATTTCTACAAAAAAGTTATTCTTAAAATAAAGTTATCTTAAAAAATTTCCTTAAAAATGTTTTTTCTTAAAGAAATATTTTAAAAAATATGTTATAAGATAATTACTTTTTAAAAAATATTTTTTTAAAATATTATTATTTGAAAAATATTTTTTTTTTGGAAAAAGAAAAAATAGTATTCTTTTAAAAATGTTATTTTGTCAAGAATTACTTGGTGCTACGATCATTGATAAAATAATTTTTTAAAAAAATATTATTTTTAGTAAATATTATCTTTTGAAAATAATATTTTGTTCCAGAATAGATTATGTTAAAAAATAAAAAAATGTTAATTTTTGGAAAATAATTTTTGTCAAAAAAAAGTTTTTTAAATAAATAATATTTTTCGGAATTTGAAAAAAATATATAATAGTTTTTAAAAAAATAAATTGAAAAAGTATTTTTAAAAAGTAGTATTTTTCTTAAAAAATAACTTTTTCCTTGAATACTATTATACTTTGTTGAAATATTATTCTTTAAAAAATTCAATATTATTTTTCTAAAACTTTATTTCAAAAAAAAGTTTATGAAAAAGATTCATTTTTAATGAAATTCATTTACAAAAATATATTATTTTGAATTTTTTTCATTTATCCTAAAACATTTTTTATTAAATAACTTGTTAATAAATTATTATTTTATAAATATAATATTGTAAAAATTATTTTTGAGAAAATTTTGAAAGTCAATTTGTGTAATAATTAAAACCATTATTTTTTAAATAAATACTTTAAAAAGAATTAATAATTTTAATAATTTTTTAATAGTAAAAAAATAAGTTGCATAGGTAAAGTTCCAAGCAAAATCAAATAGTTGTAACTGTAAGTTACAAAATTTTAAATTTTAAACCAAATAATTACAACTGTAATTGCATGTAAGAAGAGTGGCAATATCTCAGTTACATGCAAAGTGACACTTGCATTGCAGCTATATATAGTTGCAAACAAACTATATACGCCCCCATAATGTAGGATTTGGGAATTATTTTTAGGATTCGATAAAAGTCTATTTGTATAATCGTATTGAGAACTTTTGCTTCTATTACTTAATATATATCTCCTATAGCTTGCAACTTATATCTTAATTACAACCCCAAAGATCCCCACAAAAAATTTCTATATAGTAAATAATCTTCTATATATTTGTAGCAAACATTAAAAATATAAGAGTATGCTGATTCGTTCTGGATATTTGAACTACCACATGGTCCTTTTGAAGACTAGACATTTTTCATTCGTATTAGATGTTTAAAGATTCCTCAAATTATTTACAAAAAATCACAGAACAGAGACTTCTACTAAAAATGTTGACATATATACAACCTTCACAAAATTACATTTACCATTTAACATCTCTGAGTAAGAAACTATATACACTGATAAAGTGCACCCACATACTTACTTCCAGGACATTATTGGAGCCGGGAGTGAGACGTCATCCACAGTCATACTATGGGCTATGTCAGAGCTAATGAAGAACCCTAGGGTTATGAAGAGAGTGCAGTCAGAAATGAGGGAGATTCTCAAAGGAAAAGCAGCAGTGACTGAGACCGACACAAAGCAACTAACCTATCTCCATCTAGTAATTAAAGAGACGTTGCGTCTACACGCTCCAGCTGCACTACTACTACCCCAAGTGTGCCAAAAAACAACTGAAGTGCACGGCTACGTAATCCAGGAGAAAACAAGGGTAATTGTGAATACCTGGGCCATTGGACGAGATCCACTGTACTGGGAAGATGCCGAAGAGTTCAAGCCGGAGAGGTTCGAAGGGAGCCTAATTGATTACAAAGGCGAAGGTTTTGAGTTGTTGGCGTTTGGAGCAGGACGGAGAACGTGCCCCGGGATGATCTTCGGGCTGGCAGATGTGGAGCTTCCTCTTGCTCAGATGCTCTACTACTTCGACTGGGAGCTGCCTGATGGGGTTGAGAGCGATGATCTGGACATGAGTGAGACTTATGGATTGACAGCACGAAGGAAGTCCGACCTTTGCTTACGTGCGATTTCTCGCATTCCTTACGTTGAAGTATAGTACATTGGTCGGTGTACGTGTTTCTTGCATTCGATCCTTATGTTAAAAGTATAGTAAGTGTTGTACGTACTTGTTCCTTGCATTCCTTATGAAGGGGTCTTTTTTTTGTTATCATGTATAAGTGCTGTAGTCAATAACATCCTATTGTCATTTCTCGACAAATAATCTCAAGAACTCTTATTTCTGGGTTTAGGTATGAAATCGACATTTCACGGAATAGAGTAAAGAAGAATGTATAAATGAAGATGTGATAGTGCATGAAGGAAAGCTTACTAGATCTATATGAACTGAGGGAGAGGATCGATATATAAGTGAATGAGGCTTTTAAGGGAGTCACGAGCAGTATGTAGCATGAATACTGGCCAGGCAATATATGGTCGAGACTCAAGGCGCAACCACATATGAGTGGTTTGCCTTATCTAATGTTGTAATTACACTAGTTATAAATGCAAACATCCAGTATCCATTTGTTACAAACTGTTTGAGAAAATGGAAGAATGAAAGTAAAGAAAATACAGAAAGACAGTCAACAATTACATAGCATTTGGAAAAGAAAAAAAAAAGTTGAACTATCTGACAAATTTAAATAAATGTCTAGATGCGTGTACAAATTAGTCTAGCACTACATAATTAACATCTTGATGGAAAAAAGTCAAATTAATGCCATCTTATAATGTTAGCGCGCATTCTCCCATAAGGTTAAAAAATCAAAATTAGGAGTCAAAAACATTTTCCCCCTCCGAGTTTCTTGTTTTATTTGTTAATGTTTAACTCATACATGTAAATATCCATATGCTATCTGGATCCGATTTCTTTTCCCTTCAAGTATGGGTTTTGAGTTCTATATTCAGGCAAATAGAATTATTTATATGGGAGTGCATGTGTACACATATTCTCCCAAATTACAGTGCCAAACAACAAAAGGCAACAGTCACTCAATCATCAACCAGTACGTAACTTGGTTTATCAAAAAAAAAATTCATACGGCATAAAATCGAACATAAGGCAGGCACCCATTAGCATAGAGAACAGACAATTTTAACGGAAGAGATCGAGATATAAAGAATACCCAGATCGTTTCGCAAGCCGAGGATATGGGATCTCAGGAGCAATCATTTCGACGCTAGCTTTTCCAGTTGCACGCTCCAAGATGCTCGGGTACGACGGTGGGAAGACTATCGATGGATGGGCTGGGTGATTTCCATCAGGAACAGTGTTATTTGGGCTAAGGCCCGGTTTTAGTTGTGCGGTGGCTTACTGGTGTATTTTCTTAAGCTTTTTTCAGGACCAATTTTCAAAAATAAGCCCTTTTAAACAGTTATTTACAATTTCCATCTCAGTCTTAACTTATTAGCATTTTCGACCTAGTTTCATAAAACTAGGTCAAAATTGGTCTATAAAATTTTATGGGATTGACAATCTCGTAAAGTTTAAATATAGAAAATTTTACGGGATTGACAATCCTATGAATTTTTAATTAGCAATTTCGACCTAGTTTCATGAGACTAGATCGAAAATGCTAATTAAGTTAGGAATAGGTCGAAAATTATAAATAAATATTTAAAAGGGTCTATGTTCGCGGTGAAAATCGTGTCTTTCTTCATTATTGATTCCATTGTCATCTTAAATAACAGCTTTTTGAGTTACAAAGATCCGGTCTTTTTATAAGATCCGGTTACAATGAAAATCAAAGAAAATAGAAAAAAAGATTTCAACTTTCTCCTTGTTTGTCGAACAAATCGCGAGCTCCTGTTTTGCGGTCGCTCGCTTGCGTGGGTTGTTTGCCTGCGCCGGGGTTTATCCGTGGACCACCGCGAGATCTAGATCCGGTCGGATCTACGCAGTATGACGGGTATTATTTCGCCAAGGAAATAATAGCCGAGGGTACTATTTCGCCAAGGAAATAGTAGCCCAAAGGCCAAGCTTTGATCCGGAGTGTGCCTGCGTAGATCTGAGATCCGGTCCTCTCGAACTCTTACCTTATTTGGCGTTGACGATCGCCGAGCACCAGATCTGGATGAGCAAGTCCTCGAAGTCCCAAAGTTTGGATCTTTTTTAGATTTGAGTCTTCAATCTAGCAGGGCTTCGCCTCCAAAAAATCCAACCTTTGAACAAATGAACCACCTCTCCTATTTATAGCCTCTCTTCACTGTGCCCACGCACAGAACTGGGCCGGCCACCTATAGGTGGCCGGCTCTGGGCCGAGCCACCTATAGGTGGCTCGGCCGGCCGAGCCACCTATGGGTGGCTCGGCTTTGGCCGAGCCCCCCTTAGGCGTGGTTTTCCGTCGTTTTCCGTTTTCGGTTCAGTCCATGATCCGGTTCTGTGGTTGATTTATCCGGACTTGAATCGTTGACCTGATTTGACAGTAAATCTGATTCCTGATTTGGCAGTAAATCCACTTCTGAGTTCGAGTCCGAAACTGATCTTGATTCGATCGTGATTCGTCCGAGTCTGCCCTTGGTTGGATGACTCGTTGACTCTTCGAACCCTTGGCTTGATTCCGCATGCGAGTGGATCTATTCCGTTGTTTGCGTGCGATTCGTTAACCTCGTCGTCTTGTTGGTTCGTCGGTTTGTGCTGAGCTGTGCTAAGGGATCTATAAGCAATTTTATACGCCTACAGTCTATTTTTAAAAAAATCTACTTTTTAAATTACTAGTTTTTATGCACATGCATTGCACGTGATTAAATATCATAATTATTTATTTTTAGTTTATTTTCTTACTAAAATTTGTTCCTTGATTTTAATTTGATAGTTTGTGGTCACTTATATCTCTAAACTTTAATATTATAATTATTTTTTTAATCTTTGTTTGAATGGTCTATACCCACTTTAAAGTTTCATATTGATAATTGAATTGACACGAAACTAATATGAAGCCTATTTGAATATTCATGTTATTTAGATCGACATGAAATGAAGCTTTACCTAAGGAAGTATAGTGTTGCAAAAGTAAAAAAAAAATACTTAAAAATAACATTATAAAAGCAAGAGGAATAATTAAAGCCAAAATGCCTAGACGATTGATTAGAAGTGGCTAAAATGACATAAAAGAGAATATAGATTTTGTTCCTAATCATTGATAGACTTCATTAAAAACAATAAACTAAATATTAATGCTAATTCTAGTATAATTTTATATGATAAAAAGAATTCACTTGATAAGTATATAAAAATACTAAAAATTTTACGAAAATCCCTTCCAAATATTTCTAATTTTACTCAAAAAATTAGGTTATTCTTTAAAATATCCAAAAAAATGTTGTTTTTTTTGTTTCATTTTTTATTGAGCCGAGATCAATCAATGTTCACTTTTATCATTTTCTAGGGTAATTCTAGAGTAGTATCTTATCATTTACGTCGATTATGACATTAGGCTGGACCTGGATTTCTCGTACTCTTATCTTTCCTTTGGCTCATTCATCTTTTATCTTCTCATCTAACTTCACAAATGATTTAAATGTATTTCTGTTGTTCAACACAAACTTATGGAAATACATACTTTGATTATTTTTAATTTCATATATATGATAATTTTTCTATATTTCTAATTTATTACTTAGGTTAAGTTAGGATTGACTTCTTTTTTCTTTATAATGAATTCTTGTGTTATGCACCCAATAAGAGTTTCTACTGCGTCAAATAGTGTTACCTTTATAATATCCGTGTTATTTTTCATGAGAATCTTAACTAAGTACCTATAATTTTTTCATTATTTATTTGCCTTATATATATTTTAGAATTTGATGTTGATATGTTGATTCCATCAAAAGGGGATAATACTTAACATTAGTCCTAAGTCATTAGAGATTTTGCAACATTTAGCACTTGGACACTCATTATTAACATCTATATCCATATTATTGTTGTGGCCTTTGCAAGCGTAAAGCTACAGTTCAAATCTATTATAAATGGTAGTTATATTTACCTTAGAGGTGCAATATCATATCTATATATTGGTAAATTATAATTAGGTTTAAGTGTGTGAATTATAAAGTAGGTTTTTTAAAATCATACCTCCTTCGAAAGTTGTGATGCCTGCATAATATTACTAAGTTAAATTTCTATTGTATTTATAAGGAGCCTTGATGTAGATGTTTTTGTCTTAACAGCTTGTTTTGAATGAGACCTACATATTAGCTTTAAATGGTAATATTTTTTTCTTTATTGTGTTATATGGATGTTTGCTTGGTCAAATTGGAAATAGATATAAGGCGAATTTTATGTTTAATGGCCTTTAATAAGAATTTTTGTAATGAAATATACTACCTTCATATTTAGAGATCATGAAATCCGATAATGCAACTATGGGCTTATTTTTGATCGTTTAGTAAAGAATTGATCCTTTTTTCGTAGCCATGTTCCCAAATAAAGTTACACGTAGAGCCATACCATTATATAGGAAAAAAAGAAAATTATTGATTTTAATTTTTTTCTTAAGCTATGGTAAGTAAGTATCATATATGTGTATACGTTTTGTGTATTATAGTGATTTCCCACCTTTGATCTGACTTGTTAAGTAAGTACCATGTATATATCTTTTTTCAATTATAATGATTGATCTGGTTTGTTATATCTCGTAATATAGTTGATCAATGGCTTCACGTTAGTTGCTATTGTAAGATCATCTGTAAGTAATTTTATAATAAGTTTATGATTCATTTAGTATTTAAAGAATAAAATAAGAAATTTTATAAGTAATTACTAATATCTTCTATGAAAATTGTTTCTTTGATTGGAACAATGTTGTTTAATATGTTCTCTGATGGGAATCAATTAGCACTTCTTTGATAAATATGTCTCTTATTAATATAAATTCAAGTGATTCATGTAAGTTTTTGAATTTTGTGTTTATTTTCTTCACTTTTCCATCTGAAATGAAAATAGCTAGATCCTTTTGAATGATATCTCTGAACTTTTCAATAGTTTCTCCATACATAACTCATTGTATTCCTTTATCTTGTGAATATTATTAATATTAGAGAATATTTTTTGTCCTGGGAATATTATTAACATCAGAGAATAATGTTTATAAAATATAATCAATTAATGTTAAGCTATTATATTATAGTATTTTATCATTTTTATGTGATTAGTTTTCTATCAGTTAATGTTACTTCTTTTTTAATACTCCAACTTATGAGTAAAATTATATACAGTTACTTTTATTTAGATAGTAATATTAAAATTTAATCTATCAATATTTTTTTTTTCAAATTTCATATTGGTTTTTTGTTATTTTAAACTTTTAAGGGTGTTTCTATAATTTTTGAAAAATTAAGGGTGTTAAGTGCAAATTTTAAATTTTTAGGGGGCTCTTACTAATTTTTGATTTTACGTTTGTTGTTTTAAGTTTTGAAAAGTCAAGATGTTTCTGTGTGATTTTGAACTATTGAGGGTGTTTCATGAAAATTTTGAAACTTTTTAATTTTTCGACAATAATTCATGTATTATATAGTATGTTATCTACTTATTATTTCTTTACATTTTTATTATCTTTTAAGCTCATCGGTGTTCAGATGGTATTATCTTTCTCTATCATCCCTGAAGATGC